CAATTACTATTTCGAAAGGCTTAAAATGTTGACTGTTTTCGAATTAAAAAAATTGTCGTTATTCAATTGTCCTGATCCCTAAGTGCATTATGTTTCAGTTAACTTAGTCATTTTTATTCATAATTTCATTGTTATAGGTAATCATTTTTTGAAATTTCATAGTATATATTTTTGTTTTAAAAACAAAATCCATCTTTTGCGTTTCATCGTCATCATTGGGTGGGCCTTGGCCTTCTATGAAATATTTCTTCATGTCGTTCTCCTTGATGCCAATTCTGATTACCATTTGCGTTTGGTAATGCGAATTTTATTTTAATATGATAACTATCCAAAACTTCATTTTTATTTGTTTCATTTATTTATTGCATATTTGGCAAAATGAGGTGAAAAATAATAACTGTAACCATAGCAATACATATTATAGCTTCCCTTAAAAAAATAATTTCATCATTTACAAGGGCAAATCTATGCTCTAGAGGGATATAAAAATTTTCCTATTTTTCGTGCAACTGTGAATAGATGATGATTTATAAAAGTAAAATGAATTCACTAAAAAGCATTTAACAGTACGATATTTTTTGGAAACTCATTGTCATTCACAACAACTATTTTCATTCAGCAGGTTTAATGACTTTGGATTTAATTTTTCTGAGTTTCAAAGCCAGTAACGTGATTTATTTTTCCAGACAGAAGATAAATGATTAATAACGGTTGGAGTTAAAAAAAATTCCCCATCATACTCTCCGTGCATTTTTCCATATCTTTGCGATTTCCCTAGTCTACGATTTGAAACATAAACATGGAAAGATTATAGACTCCATCAGTAAAACAAATCAAGAATCCAAAACTGAAGCGAGAGCGTTTTCAACAACAAAAATGTCCTTTTTAAAAATGGTAAAGAAACTGCAAACTTTCAGAATCATTTTATAATGAGAAGGGGAAAAATTAATAAATATATATACATTTCTGTAAGGAAAAAAAGTAGCGCATATTTAAGATTTGTAGCGTTCGAAAAATAATAAGTAGCCCAAAAAGTAGCGAGTAGCCAAAATTCAATTTTCAGTAGCGGGGACTTTTAAAAGTAGTCCAATCCGCTACTTGTAGCCCAATCTGGCAACACTGCTGTGAACCGCCTTAAGGCTACAGTGGACGTTCAAAAAAAATTTTTTTAGTTTTTATGCTACACTAAAACTTTTTTATGACTTATGTATTCTATCAAGATATGCCCTTGCAAAAATTTTTGTAAAAAATATTTGGACCATTTTTGAGAAATTTAAAATTTTTTAAAAAAAATTTCATCAATTTTAAAATGCTCCCAGCGGCTTAAATTAAAATTTTTATTTATTTTTTTTTAATATTCTTTTTTTAGAGATAAATGTTAAAAGCTTTATGCATTATATAGGAATTTTCCTAAACTTATTTTAAATTTATGACCAAAATCAAATTTTATGTAGATTTTTGTTTCAAAATAAAGGTCGTTAGGTACATGAAACCCGATAACTCCTTTATTACTTGTTATAAAACAGAAACAAATGCATAAACTGAATCTAATATACATATAAATAACTAGAAAAAAATTTCATCTCAATAGGTCAAAGTCGACTGGAACATTTTGAATACGTGAAACATAACAAAATTTCAATTTTGAGAAAAACAGCTTTTTGTGTAAGAAAAGGGGCATGGCTTCATAATGTGAAAACGAAACTACCCTATAACTTCTCAAAAAATGACGAAATTTAAAAAAAAAAAATTCAGTTGAAAAAGCAATGAAACAAGTGTCTAAATATGTCCAAAAAAAACCCCGAAATTTTTATCAATTTTTGGCAATATAAAGGTCCACTGTAGCCTTAAGGCCACTTAAATTTGTTTTAAATTATTTGAATCCGAAATTTGCGGTTTTTGATGTCAGTAGCGTGATTAGAGTTTGTAAAAGTTTAGTCATATCGTTGGGAAACTCTTTTTCCACGTATGATTCGTGCCACCATTTGCCAATAACTTAAGAAAATTTTTTTTAAAAATTTACATGACTATTAATAACAGTAAAGGCCCGCGTGGAGGCAAGAAGTGAGTCCAGCATTGGGAAGTTATTTTCTCAAGTGTATTATGCTTTCATTTATTTTAACATTTCTTCATTCATTATTTGTAGTCACAAAGACAGAATTTATGAATTTGATTATTTATAAGAACAGATATTTGAGTTTATGGCTAAAACTTCGCAGAAGGTAAAATCCACCTTTTAATCGAAAAAATTATATAAAAACCAAATTAATTTTAGGGTAATTAATATAATCTCAATAATAAAAAATAATTTCAATATTAAATATATTTTAATTTTGAGGTGTAATTTGGGGGAGGGGCGATTTTCAAGAAAAAAAGTGCCCATATAAAGGATCAAGTCTTCTAGATCTTACTTCCTTCTTCTATATTACTATTTCCTAATACTGGAACATCCACCTATCTAACTTAACGGTTTTAGAAAAATTCTTTTAAAATCAGACAACATTCCGTTTCTTTTCTAATGCTATTCAACTGATACATAGCCACATATTGACTTTGTTTACTTTCCTTTAAGACCTGTAAAAGTTTTATCGAATTTTACGTACTTACTTATATTTTACCGTTTCTTTTTAAGAACGTTTACTTATTTAGAAGTTCGCTTACTTTCCGCTTTTTTTTTTTTCAATTTTTTTTCGACACATTCCACAAAATAATGAACGTTTTCTCATAGAAGAGATATTTTTTTCCGTTATTCTGATTGCTCCGATGTTCCCTTTTAGAAACATAGAAAAACTTTAGTCATCACCGGTTTTAAAATAAACTAAAAGTTAAACATTTTCTCACTCTAATTGTTTACATATCTAAAAATGATACTACAAAATAATAAACAAATAATTGAACAAACTGAAACATAACTTTGAACCCGAAATGTATGAACAACTACAGCAACAGCATGAATAAATACTGATAATGTTTCACTTCTTAATTTAACACAATGTATCTTTATGATGATAAATATGGGCGCTTTTCAATGTCAAGTAACAATTTAAGATTTCCATAAAAATAAATAAATAAAAAAATGAACTGATAAGAAAAGAATTTTTAGCTGTAGAGAATCGTAAAAAAAATACTTCAATAGGAAGATGAGTATTTACTGCAATTATATAAGTTTATAACTCAAGGTTTATGCAGCTAAGTTTTAAAACCAAATAAATTGGAGAAATATTATAATATTGTAATTATTTTATAACCGTTGTTGAACTGTCGACCCAATTTTTTTGAGTTTACGGCTACTACCAAAAGTAGCCAGATCATTAACGAGCAAAACGAAATATCTTTAAAACTAGTTTAATTGTTTAATGAAGCTTGGAGTGTTTCTATAAGGAAAAAAAATTTGTGCGTCTTATCACCTAAAAATTCTTGAAATTCTTTATTTTTCTCAAATTACAGCATGTGCAAGTTTTGCATTCAAATAAACAGTATATTTTTTTCTGAAAGCTTTAATTGCGATTTAAATATTTTCAAAACCGTGACTTTAGAATGTTACTGTAAAATAAAAGTTAGCGAACATATCCTTTCAGAAATGCAGTGTAGATGCGTACTAAATTTTATGACAGTGTGATTCAAAAGAAAGGGCATAAACTTGAATGCAGTGTTCCATAATGATGATATTCTCTTCCTAAATTCGTTTCTCTAGTTTTTAATCAACCTACATTGAGCCGTGGGGGCTCAAGGGATAGAGCATTCGCTTTTCAATGAGGGGAACCGGGTTCGAATCCCAGCGATGACTGGTTGATTCGAATTTCGAATCCGGCTTGCACTGATCACAGTCCTGATGTGAAATATCCTTAGTAGTTGGCGGATCATGGGTTAGAGTCCCCTTTTCGTTAGGCTAACTGATGGTTTTCGTGGTTTTTCTCTCCATGTGACGCAAATGGGGATTAGTTCCCTCGAAAAGTCCCCCACGAAGGCAAAATTTCTCCCAATATACTTGATCCTGGAGCTCCCGTATCTTCTGGATTGGGTTCAAAATTACTAGGGTACCGTGTTGAACATTAGTGGTTGTAAACTCAAAATTGGATCGGCTGCTCAACGACGGTACTAAAATAAAATCAACCTATCACTAACAATATCAGTGACAAAACATACATAAAAATATTTTTATCACCAAGAGCAATAACATTCACCTTATCTTTTTTATCAGTGCCTGTCAGAAAAAAAAATTTCGGAAAACTTTTTTTTTTCAATCTGTAAATATTTCAACAAAAACTTTATTTTATGGAAACTTTCACAATTTCCTATCTAATCTTAAATACACTTATTAAAGCTGTTGAAATATTTGTGGAAGTGGCCGTATTTGAACCCGTCAAGATAGCCTTTTAACTAAATAAACATTAAATGCTGAATTATAAATGATAACTTATATGGTTTTATTACGCGTACATTGAAGATGTTATTTAAGATGTTATTTAATATGAGCTTTACTTTCGTAACATTGCGTAAACTTTAACGTGTTTTTAAAGAATATAAAAAAAAAATAATTTTATGATTTGTCCTTGATTGCATCCAAAAATCGTTCATATCACAACAAAAATTAATTACAAATTCTGATTAGTTTCGATTTGAAATGAAAGAAAAGGACGTACTTAAAGTACGCCGGCGTTTTAATACGTTAAATAAAGTACGCCGGCGTTTATAATATACAGGAAAAATAAACAAAGTTTTTAAGAAAAAGTAAATATGCTATTTGTTCTGTAATTTCCGCCTTAACATATATGTTTTTGAAATTATTGCTAAAAATGGAGTGTAAAAACGTCACATCAGTAATACTCTAATCTGTCAGATTTTGATCGATATTTTGCTTTTTCCTCTGTTAAATATTAATACGTGCCTTTCAATCCGCATACTTCTTGTTTTTATCCTTCATAAGGATTCCAAAAATGCATAATAAGCGAAGCATTCACGGAACATCCTTCACAAATGTGTCTTTCTTTTAATTGCAGTGGTGGGCTATCAAGTATCCTCTATCGCTGTTCACTGGGAAATAATGTTAAACTTCAAAACAAGAAGACAGCAAGACAAGTACTCCTTCGCTTTTATGGTCCAATGCAAGACGCGGAACACATCATTGTCCTAGAAGCTATCATTTTCGTGATTCTTGCTGAAAAAAATCTTGGACCCAGACTCATGGGACTGTTCCCGAACGGACGACTTGAGGAATTCATACCTGTAAGTAAATCCATTGTTCGAAAACGATCGAATAGCTACGACAATTGAAATTTTTTTTGCATATTTTTATTCTGAGTCCAAAACATTGTATTGAAACACCTACATACAAGAGTTTTGTATGGCCTTTCTCTGCACCGCTTTATTCACCATTGGTTGTCACCATTTCTGATGTTGACATACTCTAAATTTTTTTAAAATCTATAGTAAAAATAATGATTTAGAAAAGCATTCAATTCAATTTTATACGAAAAAAATTTATTTCTAGCAAAAAAAAATTTCAGCACTATATTTATATTTATTCGTTTAATTTTAATAAATTTTCTTAATTTTAATTTACTGTTAATTAGTTGTTTGTAATAAATTGTGTTTTTTGTCAATTAGATTTAAATCTGTATCCAGATACTCTGCAAACCTGATATTGAGATATATGAAGACACGCATGTAATCTATGACGTAACCTTAAATAAAATTGACGATATAAGAACGACCTATTCTTTTTGAAAATTATCTTGCTCAATTAATTTATTTATTTGTTCAAAGATAGTAAAACATACGTATTGTAAATTTCTTTATCTTACAGTCAAAAAGTTTACATACAGACGACATCAGGCCGTTGTCTGCAACCATAGCCAGAACAATGGCAAAAATACATGCTCTCAATGTGCCGGTCAGCAAAGTACCAGATCAAATTCCATACCATATGAAAAAGTAAGTTTTAACGCATATATACACGAAAAGTCATTACATTGTGACCACCCACCATCTAAAACAACGGGCTCGCCCAGGTTTTCATGGTTTCTCGCCTAGGAACAATGTTTTCATGTGGCACATTAGGATCCATAATCCTCATAGAACAATCCCTGACGTCTGTAAGTTACTTGAACATAGTTGCAGACCAGGTTCATCCAGTCATGGCAACAGTTTTTCCTGCGGGGGATGGCGTTTACCAACAGGATAATGCACCATGCCATAAGGATCGAATCGTTGTGGATTGGTACGAGGAACATTCCAGTGACTTTCAAGTCATGTCTTGGCCCCCAAATTCAACTGATCTTAATCCAATAGAGCATTTGTGGTCCTACTTGGAAAACCAAATTCATGCTGCCACGCTACCCCCTCGCAATGTGAGGGAATTGCAGGACCAGTTGGTGAGCGCTTG